CCACTGCATTAATAACTAAGGCTTTCACACTGAGATTTGAAGAACGGACTATAAGATACATGAATATTTACTATCAGTGTGGTAAATGGCTAAATGATGCTGGTGATTACTGCTGATGACAGCTGCTCCTAATCAGGATAGATTAAATGCTAACACTATGCATTCTACTGTGTATGATCATGTGGCAAGAAACTTGATTTGATTTGTATAGGAGGGTGCTGGAGTACAGTCAAATAGTATAACAGCATCAGACTGTTGTCTCCAACTAAATCTCAGCCTAACTGCGCTCAAAAAGTTGGCTATTACCAGGTTGATTATTTACAAACAACACTTGGAAATTCAATCAAATATATATTGTTAATTTCCAGATAAGTAATATCTGGCCACCATGTTGGGTCATTGATCCACTTGGACTGGGGAAGACTGAAAGGGCATGACAGCTGACTGATCATCCGTAATTTATTAAGTTATCTTGAACACTCAGGTTCTGGCAAGATAGCAAAATAACTATTAGATATGTCTTTAAAACAAGGGTGTGTTTAATATGAAATGAATGCATACCATGTTATTAAAACTGTAATCAAGACACACATTAAATTGCATTGACATCTATAGGATCTTTGGTTTTCTATCCCCCAAAAGGGGCCACGGCGTCTTACAATATGGTATGGTCTATGGGAGACGTCATATCCCTGTAGCCTATACAATCACTGATGACATTGTTTCCATATTTCAACAAGCCCACATAGTTGGTTGTGTTCTGTTACCATCTTTCCACTAACCATTCAACAAATCGAGAGTATCCAACGTACAAAAGTGTTACGTTTGTATTCCACCCAGAGTGGAAGCTACATACCTGCCAACACACTTTTTTCCAGGGTTTCTCCTGTATTTAAAGGCCATCTGGTGCCCTCCCGTTTTGTTGTCCCATAATTTGCATACCCCCACGGTGTTCAAGCTTTTTTATGAATAGTTGTCATGCACGCATCCAAGTTTTGGATGTCTGTTTGACGTCACCCAAGTTGCCAGATCGTCTATGAAACACAATCTACACACACAATTAACACACTAATTACAATTTCAACCAATCTGTCACCGCAACCTGGCAACCAACAACCCTATCCAAGGGGCTTGGATGCAACTGCTCTCTGCGCAAGCACATGGGTCAGCTAACTTAAAGGATCATTTAGGTAGTTTTTAGACCTGGGCCCTAATCACATATTTTGGTGTCGAAATGACTAGTAGGTAAAATAAGTTGTGTAATCTGTGCAGTAGATGGCTTCAGCCAGCAGATGTGGACTGGCTGTGGTGGCTGCAACCTTTTACTTCAGGGTAATTGTGCCCATAAAAATTACGTCCACAAAAATCTTTTTGCCAACTGACGAGATCAGACCATTATACAAGGTGTCTAAAAACATCATGGAAAGGATCTCTACAAGTTACTCCAGGTGACACCCTTTGTTTTCAACAGGAAGCTGAAGTCTCGCTCAAATACAATTCTCGCCCTGAAATCTTGTGAGAGGCAGAGGAAGACAATGGTGATAATAGGGCCCAGATTTAAAAATATCAAAATTATCCTTTAACGTTAGCTGTTTTAAAAATGTCAGGACAAATTACACGTGTTCAATGTGTTCAAATAAACTGACTGTTTTTATTGTCAACCCAATGAAATGACTTGTACCAACATTGTCAGTTGTAATCAAAGACTTATGCCCCTTGGAGAAGACTAATGTGAGGAGCACTGTCACTGCAGAAAAAATTTTCCCTTTCTGAAAATTACAATTTACTGATACTGATTTCTTAACAAAATATTCATCATTACACTTGAGTACCAGCAATGTCTTCAAAAAGTCAACTTTCCTGGAATTTTGGTAAAAGGAAATCTTTCTTGTCTGGAGTGGCACTTTGTTTACTGTGTGTCTCAGTGTCAGATGGGTGGACGCCTGCACTTGAACTGCATTTCTCCGTCCTCAGGGGGGTTCAACAGGAGTGACACAGTACTTCACTTCGCATCCACTTCACCTGCCTGGTAATGGAACCCTGCTTGGATCCAAGATGGCATCAGCGTGACCACTGCTGCCTTCCGATATGTCCGTCTATCAATCAAGTGTTTCATGCAATGGCAAAGTTCCCTTTCTAGGGTTTATCCTATATCTGTCCTGTATCATTGCAGGGAAATATTTGCTGATTATCTGTAGAATTTATTGTATATAATTTGCGTAGCCATTACAGTTTAAAAAAAGATCAAGTGCCTTCCTGGCAGTGCAAGGAAACATCATTGTGTTCACATACATGATTGAAATTTTACTAGAAAGATCAGGAGCATGTATGCATTTGGCTTGGAAAATGGTCAGAATACCAGAGTATCATATTTGAGCTTTCTGGTAAAGAATCCCCTTTAAATCAAGTAAAAATGTTTTCATCCTCAAAGTTATATTTTAGCCTGTAGTTCTTTAACTTTCTTAATCTTTCTCCTAAAACCTCTTGACTATAAGAACATGTGCAGACTTTTCACAATGTTGATAATCAGACTTTGTTGCCAAATCTTATTATTTTGTTTGCTTTGGTTTTAGAATTTTCTTAAAGGTTTCTGCTGTTTTCAAACCTTGATCGGTGCGGAAAAACATTATTTAAAGCCAAGTCAACTTTACTTATGTAGCCCAACATGACACAGGCTCCAAGGGGTTTACAATCTGCAACATCTACAATATATGACACCCCATATTGAAATTCATCAAATTAACCCTTTAAGAAAAATTTCACAAATAAATTCCAGAAAAGCAACAGAGGAGTTATGCCTCCACCAGAATTGACAGACATGCAATGTCTGTCTTATGTACAGAGTAGACAGAAGTACCACATGTAGAATTAAAATACTTAGAAAATGAATCACAATGACAAAGCTGCTCTAATCAGTGGCTATTGCAATGTTAGAGGGATCATCCAGTGATGAATCCACAGAAAATGACCCTCAGCTCTACGGAATGTTTTCTACCTCTTTAGCTCATTGTTTTGGTTTCAAAGCTCGAATCCCACACCAATTTCATCAACTTTCAACTTGCAGTCGTTTGCTGTTTTCAGCAACAAAGCTGTGTATGCTACCTTTCCAGCACCAAACAACAGACACACAAAGTTGAAGGTGAGTGAACATGTAAGGTCAGAAAGAACATCTTTAAATATGGACAAGGTGTATAACAGTGTAGTCAAATCAATTTTATTTAAATAGCAAAATATCAAAACTTTTCACAGAATGCTTGACAATCTTTAACACACATAGTCATAAAACCCTCAGTTCCCATAGCCTAAGTTCCCATAAGGAAACTCCACAAAAAGAAAAACTAAACTAAAATGTGAGAAACCTCTAACAGCATCAGAGGTGAAATCCCTCCTGTAGGATGGACAGACATGCAAAAGGTGTCATATAGCAGATGTAGCTTTAGCAATAGTGACAATATTAATGTAGAAATATTCATAACATGTATTAAGCAAATATTAAGTGTAACTAGATCTGCAAGCAGGCATTAGCAGGGTTAAAAGTCCCCGTGCCCAGGCCGCAGCAGCCTGTGGAGGCGATGCAAGTCGGACCTGGAGCCTCACGGGCGCGATTCAAGGCAGGGGTGAAGAACAGCACAGAGATGTGAAAACATTTTGTTCAAAAACAGTAGTTTGGAAAAACTATTTTAGCATATTTCATGATTTTCCAACAAGAGCGCCACCTAGCTGTTGATTGGTTCAGAAGTCTGCGCAGAGCCTCCTGTGTGGCAGGCATACTAGAGTGCTTCACAAGTCTCTTAGGTGCCTTTCCTCAATCCTCGCTTGAACCGGAAGTTGTTCCGCTCCGCCATCTTGCAGGCTGTCCCAAAGCTCTTATTTGCCCCACACACAACTTGCTTCGTTTAGGCTATTAGGATGATTTTATTTTTCTTTTATTTCTCCCATCAACTTTTATTATGGAGACTATTAAAGTCAGAGAAACACGTTTTACATCATTTATCGTCTTCTATTCAGTCACATGTGAGGCTAGTCATTCCTGTGTTTAGTCCAATAGACAACAATAAAACATAGTAAACAATTAGGAGTCGGACAAGTTACTAAACTGCACTAAAGTCTCTAATGAAGTAAGCAAAGGAAAATGAATCCGCTCATCCAGCCGATCTCACCTACTGCATCTGATGAAAGCAGCCGGCCGAAAGCTGCTGCGCTAAAAAAAACAACGTCGGATTGCTATAATGGAACGCAGTGATCGATCAGTGATGAGTGATGTGACTTGCATAAATTAAATGCATGCATTGTGCCAGTAGAAATGATCCATGTGCCTCTGAGGAGGACATAGGCCTACAGTAGCCTATAATTATTCATGTGCAGGTGTTTGTTGAACAGGTAACAGCTACAGAGAGAATCACACTGCAGTTAGTACATGTTGTATAGATTCCAAGACTCCACAGTGTTCACAGTTGCCGTCTATATGCATCCCCACTAGCTCCTCCATCCTCGCTCCTCGATGTGCATTTTAAGAATTGAGATGTCCTTCAAGATGGCGTGCAGAGATCGATTTCCGGGTCACACGCTCGTGGATTCGAGGAGACAGAAATTTGGGAAATGAGAAAGGCCCCACGTTTCATTGTGGAGGTATGACACCACTTCCTGTTTTGTTGCAACCTAAAGTAAGTTTTATAACTTGCACATTTTTTGGATTAACAAATTTTGTTCACATAACTTTTCATGAGGGTCCATAGATTTTACATGCAAAGGTTCGTGCAGATTGAACTCACCCTCTAAGAGGAGTTCAAAGAAGTAGACTGGCTTCACATATTTCATGGGGAAAGAATTATAGGTGGCGTGGCCTAGATCACAAGATGCAGCAGGGAAAGCCTGGATATAATGGTTTCATAAGGTTTTGGCAACATGTGGGAGTTACTGGCCAAAACGCACTTACCTTGTTTATAGCGCCACCAGCTGGTGGACGTGTCATTTTTTGTGTCTGAGGTTTGTGCAGCAGTCTAGACTTATGTTAATTTCATAACTTTTATGTTGTGGGCTGCAAGAGGGGAAATCAGAGGGTTTGGGAGCCACCAGCCTTCCATGCGGGGCCCCCTCATTAGTTAACGAAAGGAAACAGGTAACAATATGCTGTTTGTTGCTGAACAGTTTTAAAAGCCATTCAGGGGAAAAATCGCAACAGTTAGCAGAGCTGACTTAGCAAGTTCGCTAAGTAGTAAATTAACTATGCCTTGGCTTTAATTTAAACGGCTGGCTTTGTGTTCACATGTCCTATTTTTATTTTTGTTAAGTTATTATTATGTCTGCATTATAGTTTGTATTGTATTTTAAACAATTTCTTCGAATTATTAGGCGGCTAACAGCAGACAGTGGTTGTAGCCTACTTTCACGTTAAATCAGGAAGCTGCAGGGAAACAGCCACGTTAAAACTTTCCCCACTACACAAGATTAAGGTTAGGACACTCTCTCTTTTATTGTATGTTTAGGAAGCAGTGTTTAGTTTTTTGGAAGCTGTCCTCGGTTCTGCCCGGTGACCTGTGCTTTACTTCCAGGTCAGTGCCTTCTGCGGGTCTTCGGCACTCTCAACAATGTATCCCTTACAGGAGAGGGGAGAGAGCTGGCTCTCCGGCAAGTCTCTCTGGAGGCTCTTCAAAACACAGTTACCATGGACACAAACTTGACCGGGAGAGGAGTGTGTTTGTGTGTACACACTGTGCGAGGAAAGACGAGAAGGACTAGGGGTAAAGACAGGACTCTGTGTGTGCGTGCGCGCACGTGTAAAGGGAGGGAGTGTGCAGGTGCAGTTTGCATGCGTGTAACTTTAAAAGCATGAAAAAGTACGCTGAAGTATGGTTCTGCTATTATACAACATGTCCAGACTTAAAAAAGAAACACCGCACGACACTTCAATGTTACCATTGCCTTCTCCCGTGCTTACCGCCTGCAGCCGTGCGTGATTGACTGCCAGCAATCTGATCCAGTGAAAGACATTGACAACCAATAGGAAGCGGAGTGCGGCTTGTTTCCATGGGAGGCCCAGAGAGGCGATGCCAAGGCGCTAGAAAGCAGCACAGCGAGCGGGGAGAAGCGCAGGCAGCAGCCGGGACTGTGGAGATCCTGCAGCCGCTCTGTGGCGGATGAAAGCGAGGTCGTTAGGTAACTGCATGTTGGGGTTTTTGTTATACTTTCTCTCCTTTCACAAGTTGATTCTATCGTGTAAAAACATTTCGCTGCGCCCTCCAGCTCAGCGCGCTCCTCATTTACGCGCGACATTTGCAGATAGTCAACTTAACTTTACAGCATCGCCGGAGGTGTTGTCGGTAATTTCGGTTAAAAAAACAGCAGCAAGAGGTTCCTGAACTGTGACTTAATGAATGCAACTCAGGTCCTCTTTCTCCATGCTTTTAATCCATCTCGCTTTTTGAAGGGTGACCGGACAGGGGACTTTGCAGATCGCTCGTCAATTAAAGCCACATCGGCGCAGAATGGATGGATTTCACGACCAGCAAGTGCCTTACTGTAACTCCAAAGTGAGTGATCATTTGTCAGAAAAACTTGGAAGCAATCAGATAACTTTAATATCTTTTATTGTTGAAAAAATATCTTCGCTCTTTTCTCTGATCTCATGTGCCTCTCTCCCTGCTCCTGCCAAGACTCATTTCTCCCTCAGGGATAATTTAAGTTCCATTTAATCATTAAACATAAACAGCTGAACAAGGTTCCCACTACTACACAGTGTTATTGATGATGCACCATGTTACAACTTGTTAATTATATCTAATGAGTGAAGCTGAGGTTCCTTTGAATGGCTGTAGCTCAGGCTCAGTCTCATTGAGGCTCTTCCATTTGTTCTTTCAGTTGCACGTGTGCTGCAGCCAACAACAGAATCACCACTCCAGCAAGGAACAGAAAAAGATTGATTTGTGTCTTTTTGTTTTTTCACAGAAGCCACAAGAAAAGACAACAAGCTGCCAGAGGCCAGCACATGACAGAAAGAGAAAATTCATTAAGTCCAACTTGGCTCTGGACACTGAAGGTAGGCAGAGGGCAGAGGGAGAAGTTAATTTCACGGCTCCTAAACATTTAGCAAAATTCAATTGGTTTGTGGCCACCTGCGCGGCTAACTACAGAATCTCAATTACAACACAGCGGCCTGTGATGATTCTCACAAGCCTCTGTCAGTGGTCAGAGACACAAATTGACTTGTTATTAGCTGCACACGTGCCCAATGAGCTCCAGTGGCTCTGACGGCATATCAGCCCGCCATAATGAAGTCAGTTGTTTCTGATGCTTCTCCTGGGCTTTGACTGTGTCTTTTAACTGCCTTCCTGCCTTGTTCTCTGCTTCGGTTCCCCCTCCAGAGCTCTTCCAGGACCTCAGTCAGCTGCAGGAGACTTGGCTGGCAGAAGGTGAGTGTTTTAAATCTCGAGCAATAAAAAAAGGAGGAGAGATGGGTAAAAATGGATAGGTTGTGAGGGGGGAAAAAAGCTGCCTGGAGTTACTTGCCTAGCGTCGCAGTCCAATTAAAAGCCTGTGTGGAAGAGGCACCTTGTGTGTCATGCATACATTAGAGACTGTGAGCGAGGGGTCTTGAGGGAGACCGAGGAGGCTCTACCCAGAGAGTGTCATTACAAATTACCAGGAGAAGTCTCTCCGACGCTCACTGTCTCTTCTGCTTTTGGCAGGAGCTAACGCGCTGCACACCAGCCGCCGCCACCACTTCCACCTCCACCAGAGCTCTTCTGTAGCCTACCAGCTCTTTCTCTCTCACTCACTCGCTCTCTCCTTTCTCTCTCTCTCTCACGCTCTCTCTCTCTCGCTCTCCCCTTTGCTTCATCTCAGCACACCTCTCTATCTTCTCCAGCTGTACCATCACCTTGTCTTCTTCAATTCCATGTCTTTGGCGACAAAAAAAGAATGGATCTATAATTTTTTTTTATTTTTATCGCAGACTTCCAAAACACCAGAATCAGTTTCTCTAAGTTGAAATTTTTTTAGATTTATCCATTTCTTTGTTTTTTATTTTTTTATTTTTCTAATGGCAAGACTTGCTCATTGTGGTCTAACTGAGACGTGATGCTTCAGGATTTAAGCGCGAGTGTCCTCTTTCCACCGTGTCTGCAGCACCGAAGTTTTGGTTAGTGGTGAATATCGTTCATCTTTCTTTGACTTTACCGTGTTTTTATGTGCATGTGCTTGTTCCATTTGGTTTGTTGGCTTGACTTTTGTATTTGCATCTCACTGCGAAGCAACTTGCTTTGAATATTGCATGTAATCTGAAAGTTTACATCTCGGTAGAGTGCGAGTTGGGTATTTTATGAGATATCGGAAGTAGTTTTTAAAACCAGAAATCCAGACATTGTGTAAAGTTGTACAGTGTGAAAGCACATAGTTGCTTTGAAAGTGTGATTTAAATTAGTTACATGTATATAAATCTTGAAAGTAAAACAAATTAGCCAGTATTTTCTCTGTAAATGGGCCAAAGCACAGATGTAAAAATTAAATTTTAGACTGCATCTTTCATTTACTGCATGTACTGGTACATGCATAGGGTTTAAAGAAAAGAAAAACATTATTTATTATTACAAGTTTGCAGTTTAAATTAATTTGAAGTTCATGTGAAAATCTTTATGTTTTTAAAAATCATTTGTATTGTTAAAAAATATTGTTGAAGTTATATTTAGTCCTTTAATGGAAACCTGGATAATTAGAAATTATGAGATCAGATCCATGTCAACTGTAAAAAGGCACAAATATTAACTTTTTTTTATATTATGCTGTTTCATTTGTGTAAAACAAGTAAATTAGAATTAATTATTAAATTCAATTTTTCTGAGTTAGCTGGGGCAATAAAATACCAGCCTTCCCTCAAAGATATCTACTTCCACATATCTCTCAGTGCTCAGATTGTAAAGCCATAATTCTAGTTATAAAGTAGAACTCTAAAGTGCACAGTATAATTGAATCAACTGAAATACTTTCTTTAAAATGAGGATTGAGTCATAATACATCCCCTGGAAAAGTGTCTAGAGAAATTTTAGCTTGCACCCTTCACACAGGTGAATAAGACTCTCAATCATTTATAGGCTCCATCTATTCTTCAACACATTTGAAAGTGCTCACAGTGCAATCAGAAGCTTTTAAAAAATGAAAAGTATGCTTTGAAACAGATATTGGAGTAGTTGAGTCGACTCTGAGCTGCAGTTAGATTATGAGGTAGCGCGGCGCACACCGCAGGGCGTGTAAAAGAATAAGACACGATTTTAATATTTCAGTATCCAAAGTGAGAAAAGAGACAGCGGCGGCTGATAAGAGGTATTACTGTTAAAGATTACAGTTCTGCCTGTCATGGATCAATGTGATGATGTACGCTTCAAGATTGTAGATTTAATGAATGACTTCCTGTCCATTAAGATGAAAAGGAATACCTCGCCATTTCTAAGATTTATTAGTTCAGGTAATTGGAACAAGAGGAAGAATTATGAGAGACGGACTGAATTTCCGACTCCAAGACTGGGAGGTTGAGGAGGGTTTGTCATCTGACAGGCGTATGTTTGACACCCACAAACCACATGTACCTTTCTCGCCAAAAAGTGTCATGCATTAGAGATTTTTTACTTTAAGAATACTGTTTTTACTTTTGTTTATGTAATGATTTCTCTATGAAATACTGGTGCTGGCGGCATCATTTATCTTGGATCTCTGTGCAGACAAAATGTTCAGTTTGTTTAAAACTCAACCTTGCACACAGAGCTGTTGCAGGTTAAGTCTCTGTTGCTCCGGCCTCTCGAATACAGCATTAGCAACATCTCCCTTTTCATCCACGCTCTTGTTTTTGATTCTGTCCTCTCTATTTTTTGGGGGGTTGGTTTTGTGAATGGCGGCAGATTTCCAGCTCTGCCGTTCTCCCCAGGAGTTTGTTGCAGGGATCAGCTGGCTCATTCACAGACTGAGGCCAGTGACTCATCCATCCTGTACTTCCTTTTGGACACAGAGACACTGCTGCCCTCTTTTTTTGTTGTTGTTGTTTTTCATCTCCTCTCTCCTCCCTTTCCAAGTTAGGTTCTGTGAAGTTTCTGCGAGTTTGTTTGTGTTGTAACGATGAGATGAGTTCCACCCTCATTTCTGTATTTTTCATTGTTGTGTTGGTTTGGCATTTTTAAGGAAAATTGGTTTTGACTACTGAAAGGAAAAGGGAAAAAAAAATAGAGTCAAAGTGTTAAGAGCTTTAGAAGGGTTGAGTATGACTTTCCTTTGTGTCTGTTTTCGGTCAATTTGTTATCAAAATTTTCGTGTAATGGCCCTTTAAGAAAGCATGCAACAAAGAGGAGTATTGCAGCAAAGCAGCCCAAGTTATTCTCCAAATCAACAAAAACTCCACCAGGCTAAAGCACAAATTGTATTTTAAATAATAGCATACAATAGTGTGTTGATAGCTTACAGCAGAATCCTCCTTCCTACCTCTTTGTTTTCTGTTCTCTTCACCCGCTTGACATTGTTGGAGCAATTTCTCCTCTTTATCTGCTGATTGTTTACTCTCCTCAATTCACACCTCTGGCAAGAAAAAAAAACCTCCCTGATAATCATCAATTTTTTTTTTTTTTTTTGAAGATCTCTATAGACACGTTGAGACATGTTACTGATCCTGTGATAATGAGGATCCACCTCATTGTGTATATAAATAGACATGCTAATGACAAGTTTAAATCTCCTTTTGCCTTTTGCCAGAGAGACTCGAACTTGAGGGACATAGAGAACTGTCACTGAGTGAAAATGTGTGTGATATAAATATGTACATGCCTAATTGGAGCCGGAGTGGAGCAGGCTTCATTATTTTAGCATTAGCCTGAGTGCAGGGGCGTATGAGGCGCAGGTGAAGCATTGGAAGGTTTGGAACAGACCTAACTCGGTAGGTACAGGTGGATTCACCAGTAGGGAAGAAGCCAATTAGATACTGTTAACAATGGGTGTTTGGCTGCTGGCAAGGAGTGAGAGCCGAGGCTGCAGAGCAGTCAATGGACAAGGCGACCTCAGGAAGTGGAATTAGGAGGTAGCCGGTCACTTAAAGCTAAATATTATCTCCCTCGCCGGCTGCCATTTGTTAGAAAACATGGTTCATTGTAGAATCTTTTTAAATCATGGAAAACATATTGCTCAAAACATTTCAAGGTTATTTTGTACACTGATATTGTCATGTCTATAATTTCTGTTTGTAGTAAGCCATTTTTCAATTTTTCTATTAACAAGCCATAGAAGTCAGATTTTATAAAAACAAGTGATGAAATTGTTGAAGTTTTTTAGAGATTAACCTGTTTTAAGATTAGTTTTGGATACAGTGTCTGTATATTGATACGAAACACAATAAAGCGTTAAAGGTTCAGAAAAATGGAAATCTAAACAACTACCGTTCCATTGCAATTGGACAATCTTCATCTGCTGAGGAAGATTGTGTAATATGCTTGAAAGCTCAAGACTGGCTACTAAATCTCTTGTGGCGAGATTGTTTTGTCAAAACTAAAATCTCATTCAATTCATGAAATTTTTTAGAGAGGATTTGTTGAAAAGGAATGAAAAAGAATTAGTCATTTGAATTTTTTTACAAGTTAAAAAAAGACTTGACTAGAGAAAAATGAGCATATAAAACCTTATTGCACATTAAAAAAACAGCGTCACCATATAATTTCCATCACACTAAAGAATAACAAAGTACTCCTTGCCCTGATTTCCTGTAACACATATTTTTCGCAGCTGTGTTCTTTAACCGACAGCAGAGGCAAACAATGCAGGAACAGGCCAACCTAATGTCCCAGGAGACTGTTTGCCAGAGGAGGGTATTGGACTGTAGAGAGCTGTGATCAATGCTGCATTGTCCATCAACATCAGAAACAATCATCCTTTTTCTTCTTCTCTGCTTATGTCTTTAGCTCAAGTTCCCGACAATGACGAGCAGTTTGTTCCAGACTTCCAGACCGAAAACTGTGAGTAAGACACCAGTCTTGTCGCTGTTTCTCTGTGTCTCTGTGTCTCTGTGTGTTTGTGCATGCGTTAGTGCTTATGTTTGGGTGTGCGTCAACATCTGTGGTGTTTTTTTTCATTCGTCTCGACTGGTGTGTTTGCACTCGGGGAGAGTGCATGTGGCGGTGTGTGTTTTTCCGTGTCTCTCAGTAACCTCACCTTTGCTCGCACAAATGTTCTCTGGAGAGCTGCAGCAGTCTTTCGGGTCTGCAGACAGGTGCATGGGTTGGGGTGGGGGGGGGGTCGTCTCTCTGTCTCTCTATATATATATCTGTCTCTCCCTTCCCTCTCTGTTGCTCATGTACCGCTCACCAGCACAGAGATATTATTGCACTGTGTTTTATTTGCATAAACATCAAAATATTGTGGCAGATTTCTTTTATGGGGTTGAAGTGATATTTTTAACTGCAGGTAGGCCAAACTGCTGTCAAATGATGGCTGTTCTGAATTTTTTTTTTTTTAAATAAAATCTAAAATAAATCTAAAAAATGCTCCTAGGTGACCTTTCCACAAAGTGATTTTTGTGCAAAACATCCAGTGTGGTTAGATTATCTAAATCGGGCAGTGTAATATTAGTTAGTACCACATTTATCCATTTCAGTTGAAGGCTTGTTGGCCTTATAATACACCTTCCAATCTTCAGTGGGGATTTTTTACCTTCTTTCTCTATTTTTCCCCGCAGGAGAAAAAAATTCTGTTTCTAAGAATACTCACAAAGAATTAGATAAAAATGTATATAGCCTGACCTGAGCTGATCTTACACTCTGGGTAATAAGGATGATGTGGTTAGTCATACTTCACCTGGTTGTGCACGGTGGTTGCACACAGTGACTGGTGACTTGGCACGGTCCACTTCTGGAGGAAGTAGTGCCAAGGTGGGGACAGAAATGGAGTGAGTTGAGCTCAGTGGGACCCGGAGCGAGCACATGTCTTTCAGATGAGCCAAAACACCCGTGAAACTGTGAGAAAAGATACAAAACAAGTCTTCCCTATGTCCTCAACGCCCTTTAACCTGAAAACAAAGTTGGACAAAATGCAGAAGTGAGGATTCTTACCTAGGACAAAGAGAAAAGGTCACATGATATTTGCATTGGCATCCTCTTAGTTTTACAGTAGATTATAAAATTCTAGCAGTCAAAGAAAACATTTGGGTAAGATTAAGCAGCAATGGGGCTGGCATTAAGCTAGATCACAGACCTTTAACCTCTTTTGAGCCAGACAACAGCCTGAGATCCTCAAGCCGGTTCCTGTTGGTTGCCTACATTAAATAACAGGGGGTCTTCTCTCTCTTTTTTGCTATCAATTCTCACCCCTTAAACGACAAACCTGAGGAGCTAAGGCTGACAAGAACAGTGTCTTCCTTTAAAACACGTCTTGCTTTTATGCTGTACTTCAAATGTCTTATCATGATTTTGCTAGTTTTGTTGTTGTTTTAAGGCTGTTGAATATTAGATTTAAATGCATAATAAATATGCAAATACTGCTCCACAGACTGAATAAACACAAGCTTTGATTAAGGAAACCATAGTTGTGAGGGTGTAAAAACAATTCATCTCATCTTCCCTTATATCCTTGAAATGTTTGCCCACTCAGATCTTTTCCATTCATTAGACTTGGACTTTGTATTATTCAGAAGATACCACAACAGTAAAGTAAACACCTGACCCTTGGGTGTGAATTAGCTTACCCTAAAATCCAAGGTGGAGTAGCGGTGTAGTGTACAGTAGAGAACCAGAGGTCACCGAGACTGTCCTGTTGTCCTTCAGAGGTAGCCAGGGTGGGTGGCCACGGTGGCAGGAGACTGCTGACCATCTGAATTGTCCTGTTGGCAAACCTGCAGCAGACTGGAGAGGCACTGACAGATGGCGGGAGGGTGAGGGCACCGTGGTTGGGCGCTCGAGCAGGCATCCCAGCCGGCAGCTCTCCCATATGGGTTTCACCGAGCCGAGAGATGGAGGGGAGGACAGGAAGAGAAGATAGAGAGACGGAGATGAAGATGGAAAGAGATGTAGCTAGAAGTTGTACCTAAAGAGAAAAGAGTTAAAAGGACAGTGACTAAGGGTGGAAGTAACTAATTAGGAATGTCATTACTGCAACAAAGCAGCTTTGATGTGTAGTTAGAAAAGCCTGGCAGTATATTACTTTCAATCAACAATCCCATGAAAAAAAACTAAATCAAGAGTCAAGGTCTTTCTCCAAAAACTGATATAGTTTATTCCTCTGCGCCATAGAACTCAATTTTTTGATTACTCCTTTTATGAGTTATGTTTGCAAAAAAATAACTGCCAAGCTGTTCTAGGAAATTGTTTAGTCTTAAACATTTAATTTGAACGTGTGACCTGTTTTTAAAGATTTACTGTACATCTTTGAATGAATGCGCTTTGGGCTGAATTGTCGTAGTGTGTTGAGACGGTTTAAAGCATTGTTAGTTTTTATCTTTTCATGTCATTTGCTGACATCAATAAAAATGTAGATAACAGCAGCCTTGTCCATAACTCAGTAGCCTATTTTTCTAAGCATAACTTGTCAATTGTAAATTATTTAAAATTCAAATTTGGTTGTAAAGTTAACTAGCGTTGCTGAAAAATGTCTTTGATAGTTAGCATTAGCCAGCTTTAAAAAAACATGTCCAGTTGCGTTGTTAGCCTAATTCTTTGCAAGCTAGCTCACTATCTGTGCTAGCTAGTTGGTAGTATTAGCAAAAGAAAACAACTAGTAGTAGCAATAGTATTATTTTTTTTTTTCATGGTAAAATATTCTGACAGGAGTTTAATAAATTGCAGTTTCTTATTTTTAGGAAACAGAATGCATTAGACTATACAAAAAAAATTAACTTGCATTCTGATAAACAAGAATGGTCATAATTGTTAACCCTAATTATTATCTGTTGTTTTCTATCAATACTCTCGCCCCTTTTTGAATTTTGAATTATCTACAGCACATTTTATTCTTATGTAAATAGATTTTTACACTGATAGTTTTATATCAGCTTCAGTAAATCAATAGTAAAGCAACAGTTTTTTTTTTTTATGGTTTGTTATTCTGGTTAGTTGGCAGCTGGCAAAAGAATAAAAAAGGTGGAAACAGAAAATCAAATTGAAGGAAAGGGGGAGAAATAATCTGTGTCGAGGAGTACTGTAACTTCAAATATTGCAGGTTTGAAATTCCTTCCCAAAGTGTTATTTTATATGTTCATGGTCTTAGATTTATTACCTCTGGAGAAGCCATGACAGTTTCCTTCAATGTTGACTTCACACTCTCCATCTATGCAGCACAGAAGCAGCATGTGAGCGGCCTCGAAGCAAAAGTGTCCTCAGGCTGAAGGAGGAGAAGGAGAATTTTCTTTGTCTCAAACTCCAACACAGATGCTTACCATTAGCATAACTTAGCAGGGAACGAAGGAATAGAGGAGGTGTAAAATGAGGCCACACATTACCAGCAGATCTGAGCCTCCATCATTTAACAGCAAAAGCGAGCACCTACAGTAGGTGAAAATGGAATGGAAGGTTTTTCGCTGTTGCCAAAAGACCTGTAATTTTTTATGAATGGACTGGAGAAATATCTGCCAAACATAGGCTCTGGTTCTGCCAAAACACACAATTTGTACCTGAGAATACATAACGTTTGGGGCCAAGAGTTCTTTGATAACATACTGAAAGGATTGGCAGAAACATGGCAGCACTCTTGTAGGAAAATGTAAAAGTAATGTGATACATCTGTAATATTGAACACTGAATCTTTCTTTACTTGACAAAGCTGAAGAATCATTTTTTCAACATGTGACCACATTGTTGATTTAACATAAAGCAAACAATTATATTTAATCTTTACACCAAAGACCCAAGGAAATTGCAGAATATTTTAAAGTTAATGGCACAGGGAAAAAAAGCAAAAACAACATTGGTATTCAAAATAGACCCAGTAATTGTTCTAACTGCTTCTTTAAACACCCTACCATCTTGGTTAATCAATATGTAGATAATGAGAGCAATCAAGCAGTGATGGGCATGACATTCTGGACTAAAAAGGAAGTCTCTGTTTTAGTCAGAGGCAATGCCCTCGCTATTGATTTGTGTACCTTGGCACCCCACTGACGAAATCTATTGTGACATTTCCATTTCTAATTTAAGGCCCTGGGCTGCTGCACACATGAAGCTATTGTTAATATCTCATGTGACGCTTACAGTTAATCACAGCATTTTTATAGCCATTGCTGATACATTTCATATGTAAATTGAAAAACTGAAATTGAGTCAGTGAAGGTAAGAAATGTAGTCCAGCATCGGGTGAGCTGCAAACCAGACGTCCGGGAGGCTCTTGTATTAAAGTAAAAAAAAAAGAAATACACGTATGTTTATTGTAGTAGGTAATTAAAGTGACCCTGATTGTGATTTCTACATGCAAAACTAAAGTATTGTTGTGACTCCGTAATCCCTTAACGAGGCTCTGCCATGCGAGCGTCGTCAAAGGTCTCCCCTCAGGAAGTGTCTCTTTGACCTCCGATCGATGACCCGGAAAGGTCAGGCCCCCAGCGAGGGCTGCGAACAACCCCTGAGCTTTGTCATGCCGGGCCCGTGTGGCCCGTCCCCCAGGGGCTCGGCTGTGCGTCAGATGGGGTGTTGGCAGATCGACCCCTGCTCGTACGGCAGCTGTCAGTCAGCCGTGAGAAAACTCCCCAAAACATCCTCCTCTCTCAGCTCCTTGTAGCCTTAGAGACATCCCTGACTGTGGGTGTATTTAAAAGAAACATATTCCCAAACCACAGATTTGAGTCTTTTGGGTCATCAAATGTCTAAATGTTTGTACTTTAGTTGGACCAGGAGTTGATGGATTTCCTGTCTCTATTCAGAATTTCTTGAAGCTATGTTTTTAACTCAGGAGATGGCCATCTCTCAGCCTGAAACGTCAGTCAAAAATCATCCCCTTCAACCACGACTGGCCCTCTCTCGTGTTTGATAGAGCGCTGTGGGATGGCCTCACCGCTGCTTTGTGTGCAGTCGCGGTGAGACGGCGATTGGCGAGGCAACCCGAGCCTGACTTCATTCTGACTGACTGGGTTTTCGTCAGAAGCGCAGCCAATTGGATTAGCGTTGATCATGACTCGAGATGATGGGATGTTAATCAGGACTGATCAGGCACTTAACAGCCTCTCAGATGCACCAGGCTCACTGCGGGGCCATAGGTAGAGAGTGCAGCCCCCCCCCCCCTTCAGATCAATGAGCACTGTTGTCGTCTGGAACGTACTGACAGCCAACTAAGAAGCAGATAGAGCATTTATAGGAGCTTGCCGCACACCCAGTTTTATGATTGTCATATTTCACTAACAGAGTCGCTGTCAGGAAAAGGCCGAACAAATGAGATTTGAAGTGAGTTGTTTGTGTAAGTGATGGCCTGCCAAATCTGTCGGTGGATGGACGCTTAGTCTTTTAACTTTAATTTATCCATCATGAATTGTCTCAGTGATGAACTGGTACACATTCATACAAGTACACATACTGGTATCTGTGCTGCAATATGGCTGTTTTCTAATTGGGGTAAAGCTGCTCGGGTACTGTAGACCTTCTATCACGGTATATGAAATTCTATATCACAGTAACTGTATATATCACTATACAATAATTGTTCTGTAGATTCAATAAAGAGATGGTTTAAAATAACCATGCCATACTGTACTTCATCACATTTAATTCATTTATTCTTTTATTTGGAACTTCCTTACAAACAAAAACAAGTCCTCCTACTCTGTATTTACAATTTCACTTTCCTTCTCCATGTTTTCTTGTCACTCTCTTCTTCTGCAGCGGTTGGCAAACCAGCTTAGAGGTACATTACCGCCACCAACTGTCGCTCTCACGTCACATGAAAAGGTGTTAAACAGTCTTGCTGCCCAAATTATATTATGCAAGATCGCGCAATAATCCAGCCCTGATTTGTTAGAATGCCCGATCCTAATATATATTAGAGACACTGAGGGACCGCTCCCGCAGTGGAAACGGTATTGCCAGTCTGTACCGCCGGACTTATTTCTACCTATATACCGTCATATCGCGCAACCCTAGAAAAAGGGTTAGACAGCTGTGTCCTTTTGTTAAATTTTGGACAGTGGCCACTACAGGTACCTAAAGGCACTGATTTCTTCCCCAAAATGTATTCGTTGTATTGTTTTCCTTAATTTCTTTTTGTAAATGATTTATAGGATGTGACGTAAGGATGGAGGTGGTGGCTCAACCTGTCAACCTATCTGCTAATTCTAAATTATAATAAATTGAAGTTTATTGAGTGAATTAAAAAAAAAAGTTCACCACCTTCATTACAAAAATTCATTTGCACCATCTTTCAAAACCCACATTCTTGAATATGACAAGTTACTATTTGACAGGGAGGTGGTTCATTGTCATTCAGTATTTGTTTTTCTTCAACCTTCTTCCTCTCTCTGTGTAGTGGCTTTCCACGGACTGCAGTTGAAGATCAAGAGGGAGCTGCACAGCCCGTGTTCAGAGCTGAGCTCCAACTGTAGTCAGGAACGGCCCTTCAAGCTCCAGTATGGAGAGAAGTGCCCATACAACGTCAGGTGGGCACCGCACGACACTGACTCAAAATAAACTTACACAGGACTCAAAATGCCCCTCTAAAAGACAACTCTTTCATAGTTTTAGATTGGTAACATTAAAAAGAAGTTATAAGTACAGCTATTTCCGTTCCACATTCTGCTCTTAACCAGCAACAGGAGTGTATTTGTGTTGATGTGCACCACCCATGTCATTAGTTGAGCATTTTTATGTTTTACACTTTGACAGTGACAGTTGTTTTGCAGATTTTCAACTAAAAATGTTCAGCACAACATTATATTGATTTTTGTATTTAAATGAAAATGACATTTGCTACACATTTCAAATAAGATGTACCAGATGTACCACTGCAGGTATCTTATTCAGAGTAAATCCAAAGCACCTTGTGACAAGTACAGTCATGTGGGGTTGTTTTTGTTATTTTTACTTCAAATGAACTTGAACTGATTTGCTTAGTAATATATATCATCCTTTCAGCTTGCATGTTCATATAATGACCTTGTACGCAGGGAGCCATCTTTCAGTGGTGAATCATAATGTGTGATTCACTTGCTCACCTGGCAACAACTGCTCAGACCTATATAAGGGACGAAAAAAGGCAAAGTCTAACATTTGGCAGGGCATTACTTTACATCAAAATCTCCACAGTGTGCGCCAAGAGGTGATGTGACATTCCTTAATATATCCTTTGGAACAAGTCAGCATGCATCTGATTCAGCATTTGATTTACAAAATACCACTATGGAAGGACAAATGTGTGGCAAACAAAATGGATTCATTATGATATAGGGAATGGACATTTTTACCAAATACTGATTTTTACATTACAAATAATACAAAAGCATCTCTGACATGATGCTCTATAGTATTGGAAAGTAACATGAAGTAAAATAACAACATAAAATGCAATTTCCTCAAATAACAGTAAAAGATATAATAATTTTCTTAAATTGCTCTATTTTTTTTTGTTTGATTTCTCAAATAAGATTTTCTTTTCAAATTTAAGAAGGATCTGGGTAACCGCAGTAACGTATGATCTGGATTTACTGTACTATCAGGTATCCTTTGACAAAGACAAATCTGATGCAGTATGGATAAAGCCTTATTCCAACACAGCTAATTCAAACTAATTCAAAAATGCTCCATCATCATGAAAGTTTACATATGCAGTATGGACATGGCCGAGGGGAATCAAACCCCAAACACTGGCAGCCCTAGAAGCATATTTGACTCCTGTCTTGTGGCCCTTCTTTTTGCCACAGTGCCTATGAGCAGAAGCAGCCTGCAGGAATGAAGCCCTCCAGCCCAGTGACTCCCCCCTGTAGCACCCCTGTGTCCCCCCTCCATCATGCCTCACCCACGGCGGCCCCAACACCCAAACCAGACAGGACCTACGCCCACATACCACCCTCGCAGCCGCTCCCTGACAACGCCTACTCTATGGACCACAGGTACTGCAGCCCGCAGCCTTTTACATTTACATCACATTTACATCTGGGGCTTTTAGCTGGCGGTTGTACTCAGAACAGATTATAATAAGGCCACAGCAGCAGATGTAAATCAGAGTTTTAGGAACAGTAGAATCTCATTGGTTGAGTGGATGTTCAGTGGGAGGAGCTAACAAACTGCAGCTTTTGAGAGCACGTTATCTAATCGCAGAATTTGAATAAGAAAGACGTGTCCCAAATATACTGAACAACAAATATCTGAAGGGCAATGACATTATACAGAATTCATGGTCTTTTTTTAAATTAGACGTTAGAGAAAACTCTGAAAAAATAAATAGGCCTATGTTTTTTGTGTTTTCTACTCTCTTGACATTTTCTTTGTTCTAAGTGATTGTAAAGTGGATATTTGGGGGGGTTGGACAAATAGCAAGCAATCTGAAGCATTTGAGCATTTTAAAACTATTTTATAGACTAAAAGATTCATTAATTCATTAAATTGCAGCCCTGCTTTCAGCATAGTCTTCATTATTCTTTAATAAATTCTAGTAAGTGGGCCTTTGAGCTTACATTGTTTATTTACATTTTCTAATGACTTATTTAAGTAAGATAACTTAAATATTGTCATGTAATATGTATTCTGTTGTTCTAACTTGGCATTCATTGTCATCAGGCTCTTTTACAAGCAGAGTAGAAGTAAACACATTGAAGTTTCTGGCTCTTTTTGTCTGGCTGATAATGAATCCACTGATTTTATGGTCCTCCTCAGATTTCGACGTCAGCTCTCAGAGCCGTGCCACTCGTTCCCCTCCCCGCCAACGATGGCTCGGGACGGCCGGCCCATCTACCACAGGCAGATGTCAGAGCCCAACATCCCCTTTCCTCCTCAAGGCTTCAAGCAGGAGTATCCCGACCCCCTGTTCGAGCACCCGGCCATGATGGGGGCGCCACTACCGCACACATACCCCGCCACCATGATGATCAAACAGGAGCCGAGGGACTTCACCTATGACTCAGGTGAGAGATTTGAAAAAGGGCTGTTGAGTGGGTGTTTGTGTGTTACCTTGAACTACTCTGGGAGTGAAAGAGCTATGAAGCGACAGCCGCCCTTTTTTTTTCTTGCTGCCAGAGCGTTATCATTTCAGGAATGGGAGAAGACAGGAGAGGAGGGGGTAGCGTTTATTGAGTTTGCCCATTATTAGGGCAGGGGATCTGGTTGGGCCGGGTGTCTGCGCCTTTCGCCATTTCCTGTGGTGCTCTAATAGAAAAGAGGGGGGGCTTGGGGGTTATGCCTGGTCACAACCCAAAATCCGCCCTCCCACTCTTGTCCGCTCCCTTAAGTTAGAGAGTAAAGGGAGCTAATCATCAGCCCCGAGGTCTCTGTGGAGCCTGAGGCTACATCAGGACATGAATGAACATACGCCGGACTGCTGGGTTCATTCATGAGGCGGACAGAGAGGGCCCAGGAGAGGCAGAGCTGCAGGAGAGTCTGTGTGACCAGTCAGGGAGAAAAGCAGCTTCTTCCCATGGCGATGAGTTCTAGAAAAACACTGTGGGACTCTTTCAGTCTGTTTTCTTAACAGCGGTCCTGCAGTTTTTGTCAGTGAACAGCAAAGAAACTGTGATTTTTTTTGTCACCTTCCAGTGGCAAGTTCACTTTGCCAAAGTTGTGAGTTTCACGACCGAGTGGCTTCTAAATGACTGAAATTAGCAACACTGGATAATTTCAGAAACAAACTGTGCAGTTTGATTCCCATAAAACCAAAAGATAGAGAGAAAATCTGCAAATTCTCACTTTTAAGAATCTTGATCCAGCAAATTGTTGAAACTTTTGCTTGATAAATGGACTAAACAATGAATAAATTCTCATAATTGTTATCTTTTGATTTTTATGATAATAGGCTTAGCCATTAGTTAATTGTTTCAACACAAGGATGTTAGAGGTACATTTCACTGACTTGTAATGAGTGCAGCAGTAACTTATTGTCATTACAAGCAAACATTAGTAACACAGTGAAGGTCAGAATTAACCGTAAAGATTATAAATAAAGGTATATTTTCCTTTATAGTCTTGCAATGTTGTGTCCGTTACTGTGCTGTATATCCAAGATGGAGCATCAGAGTGAATTTATTAGCAGTCACAGTGCAGCATGTTGACTGGAGCAGGCCTGTTGGAAAGGATGGGAGGGGAGCTGGTAATTTCATTAGCAGCAATTTCCTCTACAAGCCCATTACTTTGATGAAGTTCAGAGAAATGTTTATGGGCCTAAATGAAGGGCCTCAGTCTGTTTATTGAACATTCACTTTGTAACCTGTTCTGCCGTTTTTTGATCACAAGCCACGGCCGTAGTGTCTGTGCTGTGGGAGGTTCTGACATGGACAGTCAATTTGGACAGTTATAAAGCATACTGGTGTATACAGGCTTCTTTCTGTACAAAAGTAAATTACGTGATTAGACATGTAGTTAAGGAAAATAAGCTGAACAAAATCTCTCAAACGATGGGCCTTGAACAAGATGATATTTATATATAAAAATGATACAGAAACGTGATTATTTCTGCAAAAGATCAATGAATCCAGGTGAAAGTTTGTTCGCTTGTTATGTCCATGATGTTGATGAAAGATAGAAATAATAAACAGATATGTTAAGGAGTGTTAAGGAGAAGGTTTGAGAGATGGAAGTTGACAAGACAAAGTGATATTGCACATTTTATTTTTCTCACTTACAATAAATAATTGTACAAGGTAAATGTATTTGTCGTATCCCAACAGGGTTGTAAAATAAGATGCACTTGCTCGTTCCCTTTATGCTACAAAGGATAACATGATATACAAATACAAAGACTAAATGAGCAACAAAGTTAAAGAACTGTATTGGTGTTCAGATTTGATTGAATTTAGCTCAGCATCTTAAACAGCTGTCAACACACATTGATTAAAATGTTGCTAAATCTTGAATGGTGTATGAAACTACGCAACATCACCTTTTTCCAACTGAGACCCGCCCACTTCAAACCAACTGAGAAAAAAATTGAAAATCAGCCACGTGAAATAACCACAACTGTTTTAACTTCAGCAGACAATAGTGTGTTTGTGTAGGATCCAGTCACTCATAGTAAGAAAATACAACATTTAGCTGTTGGCTAACGTGCCGAAGTTACACAGTATGACAAAGAAAGTAACACCTTCAGGTCCGTGTAGTTTTGATCTGAAAAAGTGTGTAAAAGCTTGATCTTGACCCCTCACATTATGACAAAGCTTACATCATGTGAGCTTGTGTTTTCACACGAGCGCCATGTTTTATTCGGTAGTAAATCTTCCTGTGAGTGGGGACGCTCTGAGCATGTGATAGCAGCCGTGTGATATAGTGAATTCGCCTGTGGCTGGGAGCCATTGCGATGCCAACACTGGAGGGGATATTCTTTAATCAGAGCCAGTGGTGCATTGAGTGAACAGGCTTTGACTGCTCTCAGATAACTGAGATAGTGTTCTTAATGCTGCCTTCGGGCCCTTTAACACCCACTCTCCCATTCTTGCCTGGCTTTCAGCAGAAGTGCCTAGCTGCCATTCTGTCTACTTACGGCAAGACGGCTATTTGGCTCACACTAACAGGACTGAAGGTACCAACAGTGATTTTAATGAGTGTTCTGATGGTGCACTTTGGATTTAGCTGAATTTTATATCAAACATTTCTTTTCTTGTTTTTCAGGTTGTATGTTTGACAAAGTGGTGAGGCATTTCTACGATGACACCTGCGTGGTGCCTGAAAAGGTTGAAGGTGAGTCCTCCCCAAGTGCAGCGAGTACTTTTAAATACTACATTGAAAACTACTCCCTGTGCAGTCATGTTGAATCACCGTACAGTAATGGTCCATTATGCTTCCTGTAGGTGACATCAAGCAGGAGTCGGGACTGTACCGCGAGGGCCCGTCGTACCAGCGCAGAGGCTCGCTGCAGCTGTGGCAGTTCCTGGTGGCTTTACTGGACGACCCGGCCAACTCCCACTTCATCGCCTGGACTGGCCGCGGCATGGAGTTCAAACTCATCGAGCCAGAGGAGGTGAGAGGCTCAGAGAAACATTATTAAATATATTTACAAATGTGAGAGTAATAACAATCCATTTGATTTTAAGCACTTTTTACATAACCCAAGGACACCTTAAAAAACATTTTTCTAATTCTCATTTCTCACACTACTCTTTAAGCGCAGCCTTAGGAGCATGCCACATTGAATTGTACTACATATATTGCTTGTGTATGTGACCAACGTTGGCATCCTCGACTTTTTCAACCGATAAGTCAAACAACAGAAAATCGTCAACATTTTTCAATAATCGAAGGAAAAGACCAAAACAAATGTGAAGATTTGCTTGTTGTTAACTGAATATCATTAGGTTCTGATCTGTTGATGTGATAAAATAAGCAACTGGAAGATGTCACTGGGAAATCACGTTGGTTTTGACAGTACATGTAAAATGATCAACGGATTGATTTGATAATGAAAACAATCACGTGGTGCAGCTCGAGTTCAGTGATTTACATTTATATCTGTCCCTGGTGGAAATGTGGATTTGCCAGTAAGTGAGCAAAAAACGAAAACAGGTTGCGTGAAACATTTAGGCAAAATTAGACAATGTCAAAGGTCAACAGTTGAACTGAAATAAATAATGTTCTCTGCTCTTGAAATGGTCACGTTAGGCCTGGATTTAAAATAATAGTTTGTTTTTCTTCCATCCAACTGACCCTTAAGGCCGTCCCCCGCTAGATTTTTCACAGGACATATTCCTAAAAATATAACCCATGTTGACGGTTGGGTCTTTTGAAATGGAAACAGAGGCTGGGTCTGTGTGTGCCCACACCACACACAGTGGGGCTCAGTCAGTGTTGCTCACTCTTGGGGGATGGAGGAGGATGCAGGGTGCAGGCGGGTGGTGGGAGTATAGAACGGAGGAGATAGAGGGGTAGCTGGCAGCGGTCCACGCAGCCCAACAGTGTCTAGAGGTACGGGCCAGCTGCAGCTAACAGGGGGGACCATTCATGCCATCAGGTGACCAAACGCACTCGCTTTGGGACGCCGCAAACAAACGTTAGCTAGCAGCTTCTGCCTTTTCACCGGGCAGGTGTAGCATTTTGGTGAGAAAAGAAAGCACTGCACTGATGTTTTTTTTAAATTATTGGGGGGGGTCTTTTTTGGTGCAGGGGTCCTAGAAAAGCAGAGATAGATGACCAGAAAGAGAGAAAGGGAAGCGAGGAAAAGTGAGAAATAGAGTAAAAACTGTAGAGGAGAAGCTGAGGAGAACACTGTGGGGCTGTGAGTTTGGGCTGCGAGGCCGGGTGGTGGGTGGTCTGGCAGACAGGTGCTGTAACATCTGCTGCCTCCTCCGCTGGGTGTGTGACAAGCTCCTAATGAACACATCCTTGGTCAGGTCTGCTCAGGCTGGACGCACTCTAATTACTGTTATTAGGAAAATATGGATTAATAAGTTTGTTTAACATTTCAGCTGCCACAGCGTTCTTGTCGGGAAATCAGGTCGACCGTGCGTGTTTGTGTTTGATACGTCTGCATTTTGGCATCCTGCTCTTGTTTACTGGCTGCTTCTGTGTTGTTTATCTGTTCCAAAGGTGGCACGTCGGTGGGGGATACAGAAGAATCGACCGGCGATGAATTACGACAAGCTCAGCCGATCGTTGCGCTACTACTACGAGAAGGGGATCATGCAAAAGGTAAAAGAAATCCTAGAATATACCAAAAATAAAAAGTAAAGAACATTTAAAACATTACAGGAGATCCAAATCTTTGCTCAAATGGATCTTTGCTAATATATGCACATTATAAAAACAATCAAATATTACTACTGCTATTATTACTACTATAATATTACTATTGCTACTACTTGTTTTATACTAACAGGAAATGATACAACGCTTATATTACAATACAGTTGGACGTCAGTCGAACTGCAATTTTAAAATGTTTAAACTGCCAGTCAAACTCAACAAAGAGACAGCAAAATGTTTTTCCAAATTGTTATTTTTTGCTTTCTGAGTTGTTCCACTATCCACAGTAAGTTTTAAAAAAAATTTAGCTGTTAGCAGCTCTTCCATTTCCTTTCTGCGATGCATTGTGGGTGAATTCTAGATACACAACACACTCAAAATTTCATTGTTTATTTTGTTTTTTTTTTCATCCTCATCCTGTCCGTCTCCGTCCAGGTGGCCGGCGAGAGATACGTCTACAAGTTTGTGTGCGACCCTGAGGCCTTGTTCTCTATGGCGTTTCCCGACAATCAGCGGCCGGTGCTGAAGACAGACATGGAGCGGCAGATCAACGAGGAGGACACGGTGCCACTGTCGCACTTTGACGAAAACATGGCCTACGTACAGGAGGGGCCCTACTGCCAGCCGCACCCCTACAGCGAGGGCTATGTTTATTAACGTCAGCCCCACACACTCAAACACACACCTCCCCTCTCCCCTCCCCCGCTTACCTTCTCCGTCCATACACCTAAGACTGTCATGTCCTCTAATTCACAGTCGCTCCAGGGAATAAGACTGAACACTCACATGAGGCGAAGCTTTCCCTTCTCTCTCGATGTCTCACATAAACACATCCTCTATTTTGCTCATGTCTTTCTGACGTCCAAGCCGCACAGCAGGATGGAGAGTGCACTTTATGGACAGGAACGGCGTGGTGTTAACCTGCCAGGAACTAGCTATGTGGTTGGCTTTTTACCGCTGTTTATGTTTGTACATTAATGTGAGAATCATTCTGTTTGTTTGTTGTTTTTTTTATTCTTATGATTTGGAGCATGTGGCACCCTGATGAGACAGGACTCAACGGCTATTTCATGGTCACCCAAGGACTGAATCTTAGACTTCCTGCAAAAGAAACAGTCTTGTCTGCATATGAGAAGCAAATCGGAGGATAATCACTGTTTTGTTCGACTGTCCTTAAGCTTGTCCTCAAACTGCCATCCTGTACTTTCATGCTCATTTAAGTGCATACTGGTAACGATACGTTGAAGTAATAGACTTGAAAAAGTAATGTCATAATAAAAGACAAATTCAGCTACCATCAGTGAGAACTGCCTCACCACCAGATTAAGCACAGCACCTCTGTCTGTCAATGATCTCTGCCCCTCGTCCAATAAAATTGTAGATCTCATCATGTAGGTGTTTTTGCTGTAACAACAGCCAAACAGAAGCACTAACTTACGGGTTAATACTTCCGGTCAGACTTGTGCTGATTCACTCGATTTGTAGTGATAAAAAATACTTTCTCCGCATCACATGTGAATGGCCTGTGTTTAGGTTAATCAATAAAGCTATAGGCCGCTGTAAAATAACTCATTCACTGTAAACAGAAGTTTTCCTTTGTATTCTGAAATACATCAAAGCAGCATTCATTCATTTGTCATTCGGGTGTTCAGTTTTTCAATTAATAACAGGTAAAAGTGTATGTACAGTTAAAGTGGACACAGCAATCAATCAACACATTCGGGATATTATTTGCATCCCCAGATAAAAAATACAGAAGTGATTTTATTGGCGTAAACAATAAAAAGCTAAAAAAAAAAAAAATCAAACATGAAGTCAAATATTTACCTGATTTTGTTTTTTTTTCTGTTTTGTTCCAGGTGAACATGAGGTGTATATTTTGCTTAAAACCCGTTGCTTTGCCATTAATAGGGTTTCTTTTTGGTAAAAAGGTATAAGAAATATTTAGAGTTTTATAATGTGATGAAAAGAACTCATGTTATAACAAAAATATTGTTCCATTGTATAATCAGGTAAATGCACATTTTGTTGCTGCTTCAAATTGTAAGTGTGTTTTCTAGTCTCAAGAAGGAGGAAAAAAAAAAGAAAAGAAGTGCGGCACTTATGGCCTGCTATTCTAGATTTCTCTTTTTTTTTCATTTTGACTTTGTTTTTAAATTTGTTTTTGTTCAATTTGAGCATTAAAAAATAATCTGGTCAGTCTGAGGTTTGTTTCTCGAGGTTCACATGTGTGGGATGGGATTGGCGATAGCAAAAACTAATAAAATAGTTCTGAAAAACAAAGATTTCTCCACGTTTAAGATGTTTTACAAAACTAATCATTATATAAATGCAATTCAGTGGTGTTTTTTGCACTGAAACTTTAAGTTTATCACTTCTTTCTTGGCAGAAAATAGTTTTAAATCATAAATTTACATACTGCAAGCGAAAAAAACACTAGAGAAACCAAGCAAACATGGGTGTGTGTGTGTGTGTGTGTGTGTGTGTGAAGACTAATAGATTATGGACTCTTGTCAATTTCCAGGTTGGAGAGAAAACTCCCAACCACAAAGCATTTAACCAAAGTGACACCTGAGGAAAAATCAATGGCTAATTTGAGACACCGCTTTTTCATGTAGGTGAATTGTTTCTGTCCTTTTTTTTTCTGGTGCTCTTACAAGATTGGCAGTAATGAAAAACACAAACCAGGAACACTCCCTTAAAGTTATTATTTCCTTCTGCGAAGTGTCACTATTGCTAAAAATCAATGACTAATTTAAGGAAACATTGTTTAATTGGTTCCACTGATGGGAAAAATGAAAACGGATGTGTAAGTAATGAAAAAACACTACTTGCCTTAATTTGTCAGAGCAGGTTACAAACCTACCCTATTACAGTCCCCAGTGTTAGATTTTTTTTTATTGATTGTCTGTAGTGCAGGGAATTGCCCTTAACTTTAAACACCTGATTGCTTCCCTGAGGATATTTAACAACCTGTAATCCGACATATACAAACCCGAAAACAGCAGTAAAGCGTTTAATATGATGAATGACACTTCTAATTTGGGTTTTCCCCTTAAAATGGCAATAATCTGTAGTAATAACCTGCCTGTTCACCAGTGACAAAGTACTGTACAGTCATAATGCATTATGAAAAGCTGTCTAGCGCATAGAAGATTGTAACAAGTAACACAATCTAGTATAATTCTTTTAGTAGAGTTTGCTGAAGGAAGTCCTCACATTTTGCACCCTAATTTCAAAAACACATTGTTGCTCAGATTTCTCTCAGCTGCAAGCAAGAACAGAGCTTCTTTATTTCTGAACGGGACTTTACTTTCCACAACTGTAACTTAAATATGGTGGATATTTTACTGTAGACTGTCTGTATTGTCATTTTAGCCATATGCAGCAAGTACACAGAGAAACGAAACAACATTCCTCCAAGACCAAGGTGCTACATAAAGGCGGTTTACAGTATATTATAAAAATTTAAATTTGAATCCATTTAGGGAAATTAAATAGATGGTTGGTATTTCTCCACCAGAATTGTATTCCTGGCAAGAAGGCTTTCCCCTTCATGAAATTAAAAAAATATAATTGAACTATTAACTGAACCACATGAAAATTTCAAACAATTACAACATTTTACAGACTTTCTAGCAGCACATTTACTCTCCTGTGCTTAAGTACAATTCTGAGGTACTTTTGCTACTTTATACTTCTACTTCACAACATTTCATCTGAAAATGTTCTACCTTTTACCCCGCCACATTCATTTAAAGGCTACAGTTACTAAATACTTTGCAGATTAAGAATTTAAAAAGTTTGTTTTACAGTAATTTAAACCACCAAATATAAAATGTGTACAATTAGCTCCACCAGAGGCAGCTATGTCATTAATATGCAGCTTACACGTGAATGCTTTGGTAATAACAATCCACTAATATCATAATGTAACACAGAGACCATTTTTCCTGCAGAATGAGTACTTTTCCCTAAGAACGTTTTGCTGATAATACTTACTGTACTTTTACATAAGTAAAATTTTGAATGCAAGACTTTTCACTAACAGTATTTTGACACTACTTTACACTTGAATAAGTACTCCACCCCTGCTTTCTAGTAGGTGTCCGGTCAGAGTTTATAAGGGGGGGGGTTCTGAAGTCCGGGTCACAGCCATGTGTGAGCATACCAGGCATCCGAGGCTGCATGTGGTTTGACTTTGCTGTTCAAATGAACTTCACGGTTACAGACAGGACACAAATGACTGCGGTTTATTCAAACTCATATCATTGAAATCCCATGCAAATGCCTCGGTGCTTTAAATATGTGGTGAGCGTTTCATTGTCAGCGGTGAGTTGCTGATAGGGTACTGCAGCATTTTACACCTGTTTGTGGGGAAGCGTCTTAAGGTCACTTGCAGGATTGCTTGTCTTACACCTTTTGAAGATGTTGTGTCACTGAGGCTGAAAATCACCATGCAAATCCTATTATCTGGCCCCAGTTCAGGGGATCAGGGCCTCAGCTCTCAACATATTTACCATTTATGGACATATGCTTCACATCCTGTGCCACCGGCCAAATCCTCCCCTCCTCTGCTGCACTACCGGCTAATATTCTGTGTATCTGAACTGTGAATTGTGGTCCTCCCCCACTGTAACAAACAGATGGCCGCTCGATCTTGAGTCATCACAAATCCATTACGAAAGTGACTTGTCCTCAGCCGGGCCGCCTTGATTCGTGCCCGATGGCTCTCGCCAGTGTTTGCTCAGGCACTTAAGTCATCCTCGGGCTTCGTGACACACTGTGTTTGCTCAGGTTAAATGGCTTGTGTTGCCCGTGGAGTCCCCTGATTGGCTGTGACACTGCGGTGTTTGACGAGCGAAATGACACCGAGCGGGCCCCGCCACGGCAAATGTGTTTGGCTGTTTGAAACAAGTTGGCTTTTAATACAGTGTGTTTACACACCAAAAAGCCCTAAGTGTGTTTCTATCTGTGTTGCCAGGGTCTATCAGCGGCCAGACCAGTGAGCATAAATCATTCAGGGGTAATTCAGAGGAACAACAGAGGCTCTAAAAGGAAAAAACAGGGAAATTATAAAGCCTCTATAATGGAGGCCCCTATTACAGCTGTTGTTCCAGTTTAAGACTGCCTTATAAATGGTTTTATTATCCAGGGGGCACTACTTTGACCAGCCAACCAGCACTAAGGCTACATCTGTCCAAAATCACTTAGTGAACTCTATTTTACTGTACACCTGAACACAATTCTGAGTTGTAATTGTAAACTTCCGAAAGACATCCCCATTTTCTTCAGAAGTTCCAATTCCCAAATCCAGACTGAAGTCAATGTTTTTCTTTTTGTTTTTCATTTCTTTTTAGTCAATTACAGAACAGACTGCAAAGTGCTGCAGGACACACACCGGGGTCATAATTGTTTTCAGCAGTAGTCACTCCAGCGTGTGGATCAAAGGTCCTGCAGAAGCTGCTGACTGCTGAAACAAGCGTCGTCGTGGTCTAATTTAACAGGGCTGCTGTGTTTTTCAGGGCGTTTCAGGCAACGCCACTGGTTCCTCACTCATTACACTTTTTACTCTCTTGTTGATCATCTTCCTGCTCCGGAGCAGATGAAACACAAAAGCCGCCCCCACACCCCCAACACAAAAGCCTGTGACAGTAATAAATAGCCTCCGTGATCCAGGTTTAGAAAGCTGTGAAATTGGATATTGAGATGCTCTCCGGAGCTGCGGGTCGGGAGTAGTTTCAGACTAGACTGTGGGAATCGTCTAATCCGATCACCGGGAATGTAAGACGGGCTAATCGCCTAACGGGCCCAGTCTCTTGTGCCCACGGGGCATTGGTTGTGGGGAATTGATGCCATGCTCGTTATGAATGGGGATTTATCAAGTCTTTAGTTTCACAGACACTCATAAAAACACTTTTATGTCTTTCGTTTGTCAAAATGTTGGTACATTAGATGAGCGATGAAATGTAATTGTGTAATATGTTCAGTGCATTAACTATAGTGCAATGGAGAAAACAATTCCACAAACACAGTGTTATAATAAGGGGTTTATTTATTCTTGATACCATGTTATTTGATCAAATCGTGCTAGTTTTTGACATTTACACACACTGACACAACTATTCATAAAACCCATTGAAATGATTAAGAATCTATATTACAGAAAACAAAAAAAGTGAGACTGCATCTGTTTGAGGACATAAGGGCCTCATGTGAAGCTTTTCTGAATTCCCTATTTTCATTATTGTTATGAGATTTGACAAAACTTCAAGACAGACTGACACTTACACCCAACACATGGTGCAAACTAACACATATCTCTGCAGACAAACTCACCTCAGGCGACTGAATTTTCTTACATATTCATAGATGCTGGCTAAGGCAAACAAATTATTCCATTTAAGTGAAGTAGCCGCTTGCACACGATGTTCTCATTTCTGGGACTTTATAAAGACACCAAGGTTTGTGCAAACAGTTTTCATCCCAGTGTGATGAAACCTGATGAAAGCTGTTTGCTGTAATGTTGGTGTCTATAAAGAGTCACAAAAAAATGAGAACGCAGTGTGTGGCTCCTTCACTTTAATGAACAATATAGATATTGGTCATTCATGTTGTTGACTGGTGATGTGATGCAGGGTTTCTTTATAACCTTACAGTTACAAACAAAAACAGCCTGTAACACAATATTTGTCTATTATTTAACTTCATTAATTTCTATAGGCAGTAATTTGTCTCATGTTTCCTGATAATGGAATTAGCATTAAAGCATTTCAGTCACACCAATACCAATATTTTGGATAGTATATAC